ACCAAGGGAGAAAGAAAAATTAAATAATCTGTCTCACGCACAAGGAGCTCACAAGACAGTTTTTTTTTTATTATTTGTTTTTACTTTAATGTAGGCCTACCTTTGGCTCCGTGATGGTTTTCTGGTCTCTGTTGATGTTCAGTTTAGTTTGTTAAATAACACCATTTTTGCGTGCCAGTTTGCATCTGCTTTTCAAACATACAAAAGATGCAATAACAACTGCGGTCAGGACCCACAGTCCATCTCAGGTTTGATAAATCACATTGTGGGTGGTGAGAAATTTGCATATCCTTCTCCCATATATCTGTGTGTTTGGGTCATTATCTTATGTTTTGTATGTACATAAAGGCAAACACGATAAAAAGTTTGCACCAGATTCTGCTTATTTTACGCACGCATTCCATTTGCACCTGGTTTGTAGATAAGCTTTGCGCAGCCAATCCAGTTTGCAGGTGTTTTAATACACTCAAATCATTTGAAGATCAGGCCCTGAATGACTGAGACTGTCTTGTATGAGTTTATGTTAGGTAGGAGAAGGAGCAAAACGTCAGTAGTCTAACCCCTAAATTCCACATCCTCTGTTACTGCTCCGTTCCGCTCAGGTCTGTTCACGTATGTCCGACTGAGCAACACGTTATGTTAATTAATGAGAACGGTTCCACATTCTCCGTGTCTACTCCGAAAGTCACCATCGACGGACCGGCTCTTCATCGTTCTCCGTAAAATTACGGAACAACTCAAGTTTTCTGATCCGCTCTGGTCCATCTGGCTCCAGCCATGTAAACCAATGTACCTCTCGCGCATCCTCTCTTCGGGCTCCATGGAAGTTGCAGCGGAGCTCGATGGAGTACCGTGGATGCAGTAGGCGTTGCTTTTCACGGAATGACGGAGGCGGTCTGAAACGGAAGAGACACGTACCGGAGCGGAGGATGTGGAATCTAGGGGTCAGGATGTTGGGATAACTGTGGAAGTCATCTTACTACCAAGTAGTCAAATGTAGTATTATCATTAATACCCCAAATTCACAATCTTTAGGAACCATTGTAAATGCTCATGTTACTGTCTGCCCTTACCCTTTGTGTTTTTATTTTATTTGTGTTGATTTTCTCTTCTGTAGTAATGACTGGTTTATTTTTTTTTTATCTTTATTGAAAAAGTAATCTCAAAACCCCTAACAATCTCATGTGAAAAAAAAGTTTCACTCTCAACATGAATGTAACAAAATATATAGTCAACACTATTCAATCCAAAATCATATTCACTCGTGGGATAAACTTAAATTACTTTAAATTGCATTGTTTTAAGGGGAGATGGAAAATAATTCCGAAAATATATGATACTACCGCCACCTACTGGTGTGTTTCTTACTGTAACCTTTGAGAGTTTGGTGCGTTTAGTTGGCTTTAGCTGTTTTGTAGCAAAAGGCTTGTAGGTACTAGCTTTAGCTTTCATCCACTGCCAGGACACTTAGGCATTGCTAAAATCTATAACAGAGTCCTCTAAAACACTTTTCCTGGTCAGAACTCAAGTCTGATGTTGCACATTATTGTCATACCTGCTATGTTCATCAGGTTGCTGGTAAACCAAAACAAGTCATCCCTCCCACTTCCCTGTTACATATTACAGGAATGATTGAAACATTTAAAATGTTGGTTGTGGAATGTGTTGGGCCTTTTCCAAAATCTAAGTCTGGAAATTATAGTATTCAGGCAGTAAACTGTGCTTCCATTAGATTTCCTGTCATTGCCAAAGCTCTGGTAAAGTTCTTCTCATTATTTGGTCTTCCTAAGGTTCAAACTGATCAGGGAACCAACTTTAAGTCTAGGACCTTTGCCCAGGCACTAAAACTCTACTAAAAGTACATCCTGAAAGTCAGAGAGCACTTAAAAGATTTCACCAGACATTAAAATCTGTTATGTAAATACTGTCTGGACACAGACAGGGACTGGGTTGAAGGTATTCCATTCCTGTTGTTTGCTATGCATGAAGCAGTGCAAGAGTCATTAGATTTCAGTCCTACCGAACTTGTGTTCAGGCATCATCAAGCTGCAAAACAAAACACTAACAGAAGACAAGGTTGCTACCATCCTGAGATCAACTCTCAAAGGTCTCAAATACCTTCAATTAGAAGCATTCATTGTGACAACAAGGCAGGAAATATCTTTCTCAACACCCACCTTTTCGTTTTTGGTGCAGACTTGTTTTTGCATGCTGTTGTACACCTTTAAAACACTCAATCCACAAATTGCTGCGGACGTTCTTAGCATGGCCTCATGTTATCTTATGTCATCCAAAATTCACAATGTTCCTGAAATGTGGTGTTGGCCTCATTTTCTTCTACCATTGTGTCGTCATATTAGTTACGTTCTGCTTTGTTCTGCCCATAGTCCCATACTGGTCCAGTTTTCTGACATTACTATCATTTTTTCAGTTTGCTGCTTTGGATAATTCTAAACTTCATACAAAAAGTAAGGGCATTTGTGTCTGGTTGATTTTTTCTTTGTTGTAACAATGTTTCTTGGAAATAAATCTCATACAATTGGAAAGGCTGTTTTTTTTTACCTTTATGTTGAGCTACATTTGTTTAAGAAAATGCATTCCTTGATTGAGCAGTAGTTAAGTATGTGGCTTGTTTCCATTTAAAACCTGCTAAATCCTCTCTGCCAAAGCCGAACTGTTTTTTCTGCTATTGTTTGATTTTATTGCATCGGATGATTGACGCTAGACATAAGACATTTAGGCAATTAGACAAATAAGTCATTTAGCAAACAGGGGCTTCATTAGCTTGTGGAAGAACCATATAATAAATTATCCATGACAGCTTAGCACCTCCTCCACACACCGGTCACTAGCTTGGTCACACACTGCTGTGGGATGACAGCCCATTCCTCAGCCAGCATTGATGGCAAGTCAGCTAATGTGATTAGGCTGGTTACTCTGAGATAACCAACTCACCAAAGCTGATCCCACAAGTATTGAGTTAGGTTGAAATCAGGACTGCAACCTAAATTCCAGATAATTCTGAAGGAAGGATAAAACCAGTTATGTAGGGGTGATCACTGGCATCTTGAAGAGTTAAGTTCAGTACCAAGGATTAATGATAGGAAATTTCCACTGGTTGTAGAATCTTATCTCGATATCTCTCTGCATTGAGATTGCTTTCAATAAAGACAAGCCATGTTTTCTTGTGAGAGATGTTGTGTCACAAGAGATGATGTCAGCTTTTTGGCATTGGCAGAAGATTTGGCAAGTTATCCATGGGCACAACCCATATATTAAACTGCTTCTCAACCAACAAATGGATTTCCTAACAAATGTAGCAATGTTTACGGACAAAGAAACAGGCTTTTTTATGGTATAAGATTTATTGGCAACAAAGAGATAATCAAGCAAACACATATCTGCCTACTTTTGGTGCCAAGTTTTTGTTTTTCTTCTCTGTACCTCTACTGGTGACATTTTGAATTTCTTTAGCAACAGCAAGCCAACAGCTTGACAGGTGAACAAAAAAACCCTAAAAAAGACGATGACTTAGTTGGTTGTCCAAAGTCTTTATTCAATCAGTGACTTAAAAAATAGACATTTGATGTTGTATGTGCAAACTCTTTGATACAGAGAACAAAGATTAGGGAAATGTGTCATGCATGAACACAGCTGACATTCATCCACCAGCGAGTTGACGGCATCATAAACCCACCGACAGCGATGAATGTGAACTGGAATCCTGCACTGGGAAAGGTTGTTACAGTAGCAGACAGTCCAATGTATTGTTAAGGCAAAGTCTACAAAAACCTACCTTCAGTAATAACAGCCTTCTTTGGGTATTTTGGTTAAACCTGCCTGGTATTCTCTTTTGAACATGAAAATCAAGAAAAACATAATTGCACCAAAACCTTTTTAAGTCCTGAGTATCAACAACATGAAGATGTCTGTTGATATCTAAATGTTGTTGTAGTTGTAAGGGTCGATCATAGGGGCTTACCAGCCTTGATGTTCAGTGTGTTAATTTGTTCTACATTTAAACAGAACAACCAAGAAAGTCTAGGTCTAAAAATGTAAGGGAGTTGGACGCAAATATATTGTCTAAATTTGGATAATAATTGAACTGGTTTGCCTTGGAAAGTCCCATGAGATAAACTAATGAAAAAAAACTGAATTGTATTATACTAAATGTATTTGTATTGTACTAAATTAACTAAACTAAATGTAATGAAATTGAATAGTATTATACTGAATTATAATGAAATCCTACTTAATTCCAAATAAATTATATAGTTACCTGAAATATATAAAATGGTCTCAAATCACTCAGTTAAAGAAACTTATTCCAGAAAACACACACTGAATCATCATTGCCAAAACACAGCTAGAAAAGAGATATAAAAAAATATGCTAGCTTTGCATGTAAATAAGTATCATGCATGAAACTGTCACATCACAACAGAATGCCATAGCTAATTTTAGCTGTCAGACCTGTGGAAGCAAAGGTTAACTCTGACTGCTCTTCAGGTGCAGTTGCTGGGTGCAACCCAACACACGAACTGATGTAAACTCAGCTATTAGGGTACACTCAACAGTCGATGGTTTTTTTAGAGCTATAAACTCACCGACAGCGTTGAATGTTCCCCACAACTAGAAAATCTTAGGCTTTCTGCAAACTAGCAGCTGTCATCCGGCACAGGGAGGATAAGACAGCCATGACAGGAACCACAAAGGAGGAACCTGCAGAGGAAGACAAAAGAGCTTCGCAGTTGCAATGAAACTTTATATTTCAGAACTTCATGCAAAGCAAAACTAATTAAACCCTCTGACAGACTTTTGTTTCTAGAACACAGGCCACCTCCATTTACAGTTCCTTGCATAAATACAGTCTGCCTTATTATTTGGTAGGACTTTTTGATGAATAATTTCCTGAATCAAAATTGGTAAAAAAAAAAAAAAAAAAAAGAAAAACAACAACTCAGAATTTAATATTTATAATAAAATAAATAAAAGTGGGCTGCATGGTGGCGCAGTTAGTAGCACTGTTTGCTTGAAGCAAGAAGGTCTTGGGTTCGACTCCCGGCCAGGGGTCTTTCTGCATGGAGTTTGCATCCTATCAAGGGTGTCTACAACCTCACCCATAGACCACAGATAGGCATCAGCTCCCCTGCGACCCTGTACAGAAGAAGCAGATATAGAAAAGGTGTTGGCAGAATTATTATGGAAAATGAATGTTTTCCCAGTTCACTTGTTTAGTTTTACATGTTAAATTGAAAATAAGAAACAATTCAGAATTTACAGAAAAACATTCTTGACATTTCAAAATAATAAAAACAAATGGTGACCTACACCCCCTCGAGAACAGTGATGACTTATTTTCTACTTGTTTTAATTTTTCCTCAGTCTCTTACCTTTGGCTGGAGGAACAGACTGGAGAGAAAAACTATATTTGAAGCAAATAGCTTTGCCCCAAATTTATTATGAGAGAATCCATCTCTCTTAAAAAAACACTTGGGGTCCCACAATAAATTTAAATGGTCAATAAACTGGATAGATTGAACATTGCATGTTGAGTTAAGGCATTTCTTCAGAGACATCAATCTTCAGAACCTTTCACCACCTCCTTTCACAGGGGTAGGGGGCCTGCTGTGAACAACCTGTTCCCCCAGAGAACAAACAGCTTCCAGCGGAGACAGTAATTGCTTCAGTAATTCAATTCCTCCAGCATGCAAGAAAATCTTTTGACATTTTTCAATGACAAAAAGACAATGCTCACAGTTTTCTCTGTCATATCACAGACCATGCCCCCAGGCAGAGAAACGCCCAGTTTACATGACAACGTTGTTGTATAAACAGTGTAACTTTGTTGTCTTCCTGAACATGTTTCTTACACATCTCACAGCGCTGTCTCCAGCTATTGGAGTCTGAGGCCCAGTTGCCAGCTTTTTCTGCACAGCTTTCAGCTTCAACTTTCTTAGTCTGTGGTGATAAAGGCTTCTCTCGATCATCAGATTGAGGTACTGAGTTTTTTAAAAGTGGAGAAAACCTATCCAGTAGCCTAGCAGGCTGTTTTTTAAGGGCCAGTTGTTTTTTTCATCCAACTATCTTTCTTTTCTAGAAGAGGAATTTAAATCTAACACTGGCCACTTGATTTTATCTAAAAATCTCTGGGTAGCTGGTTCTGCCCATTCTTTTTTTCTCCCATGAAACAGGTCCGTGTTTTGGCTTTGCCCCAAGACGGCTTCAGTATAAACTAACTTTCTCCAACATTCTCCTCCCAGCTATTGAGTGCGGGAAGGAAGCGGAGCTGATTTTTCAGGCAAAAACATTCCACAAAGTAGAGCATGTAATACAGGTCCTTCTCAAAATATTAGCATATTATGATAAAGTTCATTATTTTCCATAATGTCATGATGAAAATTTAACATTCATATATTTTAGATTCATTGCACACTAACTGAAATATTTCAGGTCT